TTTATTTAGAGATTTTCATGTTTTCTTCTTGTGAAATGTTATTTCTTTCAGTTATCTCTTAGTTTTGGACAGAACTTGGAAAAAAAGTCCCTCTCCTATTCTGCTCCAGCTTCCTGGAATTTACCAAAATTATTATTTCAAGCTTGTTCTTGTTTTAAGACTAACTTTGCTCTCTTTAAAATGTCAACATAATGTTTTCAGATTTTTGTGTAGTTGATGTTATGTGTTTATCTGCCTCAATGAGATTAAGTAAAAGTAAATACAAATAAATGTTTCGGCATAAACAGAAAATCACCTACGTGCAATAAACCCACAGAGTCAGAGCTGTGAAAAAATAAAATATAATCATATTTTCTTTTATTTATAAAATGTACTGAAGCTAATTTGTGCAGCACATCATTCTGCCAGAAGTTGCAAAAGAAAGAAGTCAGTTCCACACAACAGCCTCATTTTAAATGAAGAAGAAGAAGAAGAAGAAGAAAAAAAAGCATTTTTAAGCAAACTTTCATGGATCAGAGCTGCAGCTCTGAGGGCAGAGTCAACATCATGAGGATTAATTTATCAGCAATACTGTTTATGTCAGAGAGGATTAATATCTCTGCTTATGTAAGACAGTTGTAGGCAATGTTGCACATCAATCAGCAGAACGGCGTCTCTGCAGCACTGGATTTATAGAAATGTTGCATTATTTCAGTGGTGGACAGTAATCTCCTGAACTCACTGGATTAGTTTACATTTCGCTGGATACTCCGATCAGGGAGGATTTATTTATAAATGGCTTCYGACTTGAAGCTCTTGTGCTGTAGGCTAAACATCAATTAAAAAATAAGCAAATTACCAACTGCACAGAACACCAAACCTAATGTTATAATATAAATAGAGATGTTGGAAAGTATATTTAGTGAAAACTTAAAAAAAAAACAAATGAAGGAAATTTTAACACTTGAGCTGTATTTGATAAAAATAAAAGAATAAAAGTAAACGTTTCTATTTGATCTCAATATGTCTTCTTTCCTTTACAATTCTTCTCCTGTTTTCTTTCTTTTGACTGTCAGTTTTTCCCACAAGAAGCTCTGAGAGGAATCTGTTCCCAGCACAGTTAGGCAGGTTGTGAAGCTCTGTCGCTTCCAGATATCCCAGTTTAACCATCATTCCAAAAAACCTCCCGTGCCTCCAGTGATGATGCCAGAGCAGCAGAAATTACTTCACGGCTTCTCTGAAAGCCTCTGATAATGTTTCCAGGACACAGAGTGAACAACAACAACAACAACAACAACAACAACAACAACAACAACAACAAAAAAAAACACTCTGGGAAGGTTTTTACTGAATCGTCTGCTTCTTAATTTGTCAGCTTCGTTAACAGCTTCTCCCGTCGTGTGTTTCTGTATGTGCCCTGCAGCACGACTGGATTTTTTGTGTTTGCAGTTTGTAAAGTCGCACAKGTTCCTGCCTGGCTTTATCTCCTGCACCGACACAAATAAACAGCTGCAGAGAGAAATATATATATATATATATATACAGTATATATATATACACACATGTATATACTGTATATGTATATATATTGTATATGTACGTATATATATTGTATATGTATGTATATATACTATATATATATATATATAAAAAATGGATGTACTTATTATAGACGAACCTCTTTGCAGTTTTCAGAGTTGGAGAAGTGAATGAGGTCATCGTTGTACATTTCCTGCGTGTTGATGATGTCACTGTACTCCTTCTGACTCAGGTCCTCGGGGTTAATGCCGTTGGCTCGCAGGAACTCCTGGTAGGCCACACTGAACGCCTGACCAATGGACTGGGCGATGAGCTGAGCCTGAAGGCAGCCGGAAAAAAAAAAACAGTAAAAAAGTCTATTTGATTTTGTTTGGATCACATTTAGGTAATAAAAATAAAAATATCCTGTCATTAGTGTAGCCTTCATATTGAAAGCTGCACTTCATGCGGCATCCATAATAAGAAAACTTCTTTTTAAAAAATCTTTTTGCTTTGCTATTACCAGTCATGAACGAASATGAAGGGAATGATGCTCCTTAATGCTAAAGACCCAAAATGATTCAATCAGTTAGTGACAAAATGAGTCATTCATCTCCATCAAGGAAAKTCTAATGTCTCTGTTATTTTAAATAAATCTGTTTGATTATTTATGAACATTACATTCTTTAAAAAAACCAACAGTGAATCAYCTCAGCACAACAACAAAAACAGTCCAAAACAGGAACCACGGCCTGCAGCCAGTGAAGCCAGAACAACAGAAACAGTTTATAAGCTGATGGATGAGCAGCTGAATGGTTCCATTAAAACTCTGGCCGGCCTTTYGAACCTGGCAGCTTGGAGTCCAGCCCTTATGCCAACTGGCAGTGAAGCCGAGCTGCTGGCTCCTTGGTGCAACATTGTTCCCGCTGCCAGCTCTTCCAGAAACGCCTTCAACGAGACAAGCTGCAGCTCCGTGGGGTGAAAATAAATAAATCAGGGACATCAAAAGTGCCCGGCCAGTTTACATTAGTGACAATCATTGGGTTGCTTTAATCAGGTGTTGTAAGGAGAACAAAGACGTGTTTGGAACAGGACATTTACAAACAACTTCATTCAAACTAAGAAAGCAAACTTTATATTTTTGATAAAGTGGATTAAATCATAGAATAATAATCTAGAATAATTGAGTATGAAACTAGCTCAGGGATCAATGCTGCAGGTTTGGCACCAATTAATCCAGGGATTACTTTCTAAAAATTTGATTAAAATAAATATATTTCTTCATAAGATGTTTGCTAACAGACAAATGAGGTTGACTCTAGGTAATGTTAAAGTTTTGAGCCACATGTGTCAAACTCAAGGCCTGTGGGCCAAATCCAGCCGTCGTTACCCTTTTATCCGGCCCCAAAGGTAATATTAAAATGATTTTTGGTTTCTATTTTTCATCTGTATTTAATGCATTATTCTTTTGACAGCAGGCCAACTTTCAAACCAAGAAAATTAAGTTTGAATTTTTCAGCCATCTTTGATGTTGGTGTGGAAAGAGCAACAGAGAATTGACTTGTGATCTTTTGCTATATTTGCTTTTATCTCATTATAAAGTCAAATACAAGAGTTTTCTTGTTTTAGCTGATTTGCTGGATTGAGATAAAATGTATGAGTAATAATGATGTGCCATTATAAATGGATTCTTTTTTTCTTTAGAGGGGCAATATTATGTGTTTCTCACATATAATGTATCCTGTATTTAAAATTTATACCTTATAAAAAGAACCTATGTCACCTTCAGTTAAAATGCTGTTTATATGTTTTTAAATAGAAAATAAACTTGAAATTGGCCTCTGTCTCTTTAAGAACCTCCTTCTGCTTCTGTCCCGCCCATTTTCAGCACAGGGTGGGAGGTGCTGATCCCAAAAGGTGGTTCTAGTCCCAACCGGTTGTTTCTGCTCCCCTGCCTGGCTGCCTCAGGACACTACAGGATTTCTCAAACATGCATGAATGAGTCAAAGCAAGACTCTGGGCATGTTTTTTGATGAGAGGATAATATTATTACATGATATAAAACTCAAATAAGTTGATTTTACATGATATTGCCCCTTTAACTGTTAGGTCATGCATGTTCTCAACATACATACATAAAACATAATTTGGAACAGGTCATTTGTGTTTCTATACAAAATAGTTTGTTATTTAACATATTTTTCAATACATATTGACAGAGTGACACAGACAGGAACGCCTTTCAGTCGTGGGCGATAAAAACTTACATCCTCAGACTCGAAGACATGACAGATCATCTTGTACTGCTTCTTGGCCTCGGGTGCACCAGGTGTGGTTTCGATACAATCCTGTGAAGCCGTTCGAGGCATCCGCCGCCTCGCCATCAGGACCACGATGTTCCCGATGTCGGCGATGTACGAGATGGTGCGCAGCGCGTTGTCCATCATCGTTTCCTGTTGACATAGCAAACAAAATATAGTTCATTTGCAGTTAGATACAAGCTCAGTTTGTGAAATCGTCCTTACTCTGGTGGAAACACGTGTAGTGGAATATTTTCATTATGGGATGCCAAGTGTAAACTAAAATGTATGTATGTTTTACAAATTTTTTACTAAATGTCAAATTTAAATGTTAAATAATATATATAAATATTAAATGCTAAATCTAAATGTAAAAGTTAAATCTTAAATGCTGAAGTTTACATTTAAGTATCTGAAGTGCAGCTAAATTAGAAGGTAAGCAGATTGTGTTTGATAATTTGATTAGGTGCAAAAAAGAAAAAAAGGATCTCATGTTTATTTGAATGTTTGTTCACTTGACCTATTAATAGTTTTGTTTAATAATGCAGCTTTCACCAGGCACTGTATCCAAACAAAATGATCATTTAGAAAAGATGCTGGCTTCAAAAAAATGCCCGAGTTTGCTAAGAGGAATTTGAATTTGTTAATGTTTTATGATAATYAGCTGAAATTTATTCCAGTTTTGTTCGACTCATTAACTCGGTGGTGGTTTTATTACATGAATCTAATTAATGCTGTTTTCCAGCCCACGGTTGGATCTAAATCAAGAACCCCATGCAGGCTGCACAGAACTTCTAAGTGCAGGATAAGTACTAAATTTATTTATTTATTTTTACTCTGGATTGGTTTCGCAGAAGTGCCAGGACCAGCGGCAACCAGATGGAAAAAGGGAGGAAGACAGACACCGCATTGCAGCACGTTATTTTCTGCCAGCCGGCTGCCCACACTCCAAATCTCACACTCTGACACTCAGAGAGCCACACCACAGATAAGACTGGAGTACTGCAAATGAATCATCTATACGTGCATTTTACTTCTGCTCCGAGCAACAAGCTCTATTCATGATGCAAAGAGCTGCAGAGAGTTAAAATGAAACCACCTCATGATGAAAAACAACAGAGTTGTAGCTGTTAGTCCTTGAAAATATCATTATGCTTGAAAGATTGTGTCCAAAAGAGAGACCAAACTATGTTCAGGAGATCAGTTCCATTCTCAGACTTCAGTATTTATTTACAGACATGTAGACTTTAACACAAAACCTAAGATCTGATCATTTCCCAAACCCCCACCATGGCTTCGGAGACAAAGGATATGACCACAAATACCATGTGACCAACAGCTTTATACCAGAGTTGAGTCCCACCCCGATTATGATGTCTTACTTTGGATATGACGTCACGGTAAACAAGGAAGTTAACACTTCTAAAATGTAAAATATGCTCATACCATTGCAGCGAGGCACATATTAAGATAGAGACTTGTAGATTCTCTGTTTAACGTAAATGATTATAATCATTCACAAAATATAAAATATAAGTTTGTATGTAAAATTCAGTTAATCATCCACAAAATATCCTTCAGACTTCTAGAGTATTGTGAAATGTTGTCTTCAGAGTACGTGTTGCAAACAACTCTCATCTACTATCGCATCAAATTATAGCTTAATATCTGCAAAAATGACTGAGTTTAGCCATTTTTGTGTTGGCTAATGTCAATTAGCCATGTCAGCCATCTTGATTTAGACTAACATTACATGTTAATCAGTTTTAGATATAAATCTGATGATTACTTTGTGTAAGTTTCATTAAAATCAATGGTTCAAGGGATATTTTGGTAACAGACAGAGACAAAAACACTATTGCATTTTGATGCCATGTAATGAGAAAAGATTTATTAGGATATAACAACATATCTGCACACATTTGATTTGGGGTTTTCCGAACTTGCAGCCTCCATCAAAAGGAATTCTGACAGTGACGTCATGAACTGAGCTGTGGTTTCGTAAGGTGCAGCTGCGACGGCTTCTGTTCAACATCTCAAGGAGCATGGCTTTCATTCCCACGGTTTCAGAAATACACTTCGGAGGAGAAGCAGGAAGCACTTACTTGTGTGTCTGCGTTGAGGACTTTGATCCTCTGGGTGGAGATGAACAGATCGACCTCGGTGAGAGTCTGACCYTCTCCATCGGCGCTCTAAAAACGGACAAAAATACACAAAATGGTCAAATCATTCCCTGCCTGACCTGAAAACGTTTAAAGATCTTTGCACCAAATGTGACCATTCACAGTGAACACTGGTGTTGGTGTTAAATGTAAGAGTTGTAGGTATAAAGGATGCATGCATGTTTAGATACAGTGGTTTGCAAAAGTATTCATACCCCTTGAACTTTTCCATATTTTGTCACATTACAACCACAAACATAAATATATTTCACTGGAATTTAATGTGAAAGACCAACACAAAGTGGTATACAATTGTGAAGTGGAAGCAAAATTTTACATGAATCAAAACATTTTTTACAAATAAAAAACTGAAAAGTGCGACGTGCAAAAGTATTCAGCCCCCTTTTCCCTGAGTGCAACCAATTGCATTCAGAAGTTGCCTGATGACTGCTAATGACTCAAAAGGGTCCACCTGTGTGTAATCTAATCTCAGTACAAATACAGCTGCTCCGTGACGGCCTCAGATGTTGGTTAAGAGAATATTGGGGAGCAAACAGCATCATGAAGTCCAAAGAACACACCAGACAGGTTAGGAATATGGTTTTGGAGAAGTTTAAAGCAGGCTTAGGTTATAAAAAGATTTCCCAAGCTTTGAACATCTCACGGAGCACTGTTCAATCCATCATCCGGAAATGGAAAGAGTATGGCACCACAGTAAACCTGCCAAGACAAGGCCGTCCACCTAAACTTACAGGCCGAACAAGGAGATCACTGATCAGAGAGGCAGCCAAGAGGCCCATGGTGACTCTGGATGAAATGCAGAGAGCCACAGCTCAGGTGGGGGAAACTGTCCACAGGACAACAATTAGTCGTGCACTACACAAATGTGGTCTTTATGGAAGAGTGGCAAGGAGAAAGCCATTGTTAAAAGAAAACCATAAGAAGTCCCGTTTGCAGTTTGCCAGAAGCCATGTTGAGGACACAGCAAACATGTGGAAGAAGGTGCTTTGGTCAGACGAGACCAAAATTGAACTTTTTGGCCACAATGCAAAACGCTATGTGTGGCGGAGAAAGAACACTGCACATCACTCTGAAAACACCATCCCCACTGTCAAATATGGTGGTGGCAGCATCATGCTCTGGGGGTGCTTCTCTTCAGCAGGGACCGGGAAGTTGGTCAAAGTTGATGGGAAGATGGATGGAGCCAAATACAGGGCAATCTTGGAAGAAAACCTGTTGGAGTCAGCAAAAGATTTGAGACTGGGGCGGAGGTTCACCTTCCAGCAGGACAACGACCCTAAACATAAAGCCAAAGCTACAATGGAGTGGTTTAAAAAAAAGAATATTCATGTGTTAGAATGGCCCAGTCAAAGTCCAGACCTAAACCCAATTGAGAATTTGTGGCAAGATCTCAAAACTGCTGTTCACAAACGCTCTCCATCCAATCTGACTGAGCTTGAGCTGTTTTGCAAGGAGGAATGGGCAAGAATTGCAGTCACTAGATGTGCAAAGCTGGTGGAGACATACCCTAAAAGACTTGCAGCTGTAATTGCAGCAAAAGGTGGCTCCACAAAGTATTGACTCAGGGGGGCTGAATAATTTTGCACATCGCACTTTTCAGTTTTTTATTTGTAAAAAATGTTTTGATTCATGTAAAATTTTGCTTCCACTTCACAATTGTATACCACTTTGTGTTGGTCTTTCACATTAAATTCCAGTGAAATATATTTATGTTTGTGGTTGTAATGTGACAAAATATGGAAAAGTTCAAGGGGTATGAATACTTTTGCAAACCACTGTAGGTGTCCAGTGGGGGGGGGGGGCTTTGTCAGATGGACAGGTTGCAGGGGTGATGTGGACACGACAAACAGAAAGCGTTTTGGCGATAATGTTGGTTCACATCAGCTGTCCTGGCACCAGGAAAGAAACAGCCCAACACTAAGCCCCCCACCAGCTGGCTGCAACACGAGCGAGAGCAGAACAAGCAGGCGTACATTTCCCTCTAATCACTGCAAGCTGCACACTAATAAACCTATATTTGTTTGATTTTAATTAGGATCCTTTAGTGCATATAAAAGAAGGACAGTGTGATGAAGGAATAAAGCACATTTCACAGCAGTTTAGTAGTTTGTGTTAATAGTGCGAGGACTATTAACCTGAGGCTGCAGCCTGTAACTATCCTTTACTTTTCTTTTTTTAATCCTGTTTCCAAGTGAGGAAAAAAAGACCCGAAACCAAAACCGTTGTGAGCAGGTGTTGCTGAGTCAGGATTTGAATGCAGCCTCCTTCCTTTTGTTGTTTTTAAAAATAAGTTCTGCTCACTCACAAAGTACAATTTGCAATTTTTTATCGAGGCGAACAAACAAACATGGAGAACTAATTCAGCATTACTGACACTGTTTTTGTAGTGTATGAATTTAAAGCAAAGATGTAAATCGGCTGCTTCATTGCTGGACTTCTACAGATTCAATTATAATATTGGAATGAAGTTATTTGTTTAAACTTTTTTCTTAGCTTTTCAAAGCCTTTACCTTTGACTGATTGTTTACAGATGGCTTCCCTCTGCTGTGTAGTGGAGTAAAGAGGTCAGCTATGTGCTCAGAGAAATACATTATGCTAAAGCTGATAAAAAAAACTAGGTTTAGCAAAAAATAGGAAAGGTTTTTTTTTTCACAACGTGCAAATTATAAAATTGAATTATGTAAAAGTGCATGGCTGGACATGGCATTAGTCTAACACTGGGTTATTTCCTCTTTGCTGTCGGGCAAAATCCGTGTATCTCCATTTTTTAATCTTTTTCTCATTCTTGCACAAATCAACTCATTGATCAACCGTTGGGGGTGGAGTGAGAACATTAAATTTGAATTTGAACTGCAACATCCAAATAAAAAAGAGCAGATCTTTCTATAAAAAAGACCTCTCTAACACTTTATCACAAGCTGTATCGACCAGACCTTTGTTTTTTTTTTATATCTTTGCAGCCAGAAACTAAGTCAATACCAGTGAATTATTGAAGCAACATCACACTGTCTGTTTAGCAGCTGAAAACAAACATCGCAAAGCATAAATAAACTTAGCACAAAAACTATGTATGTTTAGCTTGGCAATTAATCTTAATAATTTCGTCAAAATGGTGCCACGTTTGTAAGGAACATGCATTTGTAGGATGAGCGGTAGAGGGTTGTGCACATGAAAAAGCTGCCTAATTCTCTTTGAGCTTATTTTGCGGTTGACTCATTTGATGTTTGGTGAACTGGATGATTAAAATTTCAAGAAACAWGACATATCAGCAATTTAATTTATTCATTTAACAAACAGGCGCCTCYGTAGCGTGTGGAAGAACCATATACAGCCACAACAGCCTGGCATCTCCCCCTCATGCTGGTCACCAGCCTGGTCGGCAGCACCTGGGGGGACGAGAAGCTCAAAACCAGTGTCAGTTGCAACAGAAAAATAAGCTGTTTAGCAATGGCAGACGTTTTTTTTTTTTCATGTGCCCAACCCACATTTCAGTTCCACTGCTCATTTCACAAATGCATGTTCCTTACAAATGTGGCACCATTTAAAAGGCAAATTAACAGACTTTCCAACGGTTTAAGATTTATTGCCAAGAAGAATTGTTACAAGAAATAATCTATCAAACACATGTTTCCATACTTTTTGTGCTAAGTTTATTCATTTTAAAGCTTCAATTTGACCTTACTTGCTGGTGACAGCAAACTAAACAAAATCCTGAAACAGATGAAGCTGCTTCTTTCCACATTTACGGAAAAATTGTCCAAAACACAAGTAATATGTCACCAAAATATCTCATCTCAAACTTAACGTATTCTGGAAATCTCCTTTWAACTTAAGCATTTAGAAAAGAGACWGAATAAATTGGATGCATTTGCATATAATGCATTATTTTATGCCTACAACAGCAATGACTGTACAGTAATATCCTCCTAATACCATTTCTGTTACCTTTTGGTCGGATAGGAATTCATGTCTGTTAGCAGTTCTTTAATTTAGAGAGAAATGCGGACTTGCAAAAATAACGATTTTTTTTCGTTTTCTCCAGTCAGAAAAAGTGCCAACACCCCAACGCTTAGCTGTGCACATAAAACCAACGATGCTTCAGGAAAACTGGGTGAAAAATTGTTGAACTCTGTGCAACAATTTTAACGTATGAGAGACACGAGATGGGTGAAGACACACAGACGAGCGAAGATGCAATGGAAAAAGAAGAAGGTGAGACAGTGGAAGGAGCAGGGCCGGAGGCGCTTCCTTATGCCCTGTGCATTACACACCGCCTTTTTCTTGATTTTGGCAGCTTTCTGAACCCTCTGGAAGGCAGGCAGGCAGGCAGGAAGGCAGAAAGGCAGGCGTTGGGACGAGACAAGGTCAGCAGAGAACAGGAGGAAAAGAAGGAGGACATAAAGAAGGTTGATAAAAAAAGGGTATAAAAAGACAGTAAAGCCCCCAAAACCACATGTTGATCTAACATACATGGAACAGAGACAGAGGGTGTGTATGTGTGTGTGTGTGTGTGTGTGTGTGTGTGTGTGTGTGTGTGTGTGTGTGTGTGTTGCCCTGTTGGTGATCAGATCCAAATCCAAACAGTAATTACAGCGGGTGATAATTGCTTCTTCTCTTGTAAACACACCATATTAAAAACACGCAGCTATAAATAGAAACTGATTCTATCTTTGTGACAAAGTTCTGTTGTGGGGGTGTCTTTTGGGTTTTACCCAATTAGGATGCTTAATTCAGTTTTCAGATTTGCACTTTTTATTTTTCTTATCATTTTTTAATCATTTACTTTACATGCGGCTCAAGCTGAGCTGATCTACCATCAAGCGGAGAAAATAATTTGTTACATTTTAATACAAGGCTTGTTGTTTGTTCGTGCCATCATGCAAAAGTTAAAACCACTGACAGTTTTAATCATAACCTAGAGGGGAGACTGATTTTTTTTTTATCATGTGAAGTTTCATCAGTTCAGACTCGAGAGCTCTGAGGGCTTCAGCAGCATCTTCTCTGCTGAGGCGGAGCGGGTCGGTGGGGGGTTGACAACAGGAAAGAAAGTAGGGATGGGGGAGGAAGCTTCATAAATATTACATCAAACAGAGAGAATGTCAAGCCGAGAAGATCTGCATAAATAAGCTACAAACACAATTCACCTGCCAGGCTTCAGGGAGTTGAACTGGGGTGAACTAACTGGTTGCTTCCTCGACTTGATCTGAGGCAAATAAAGATGAATAATCCGAGTGCGGCTGACTGAGTGGAGCTCTGTCTATTTTAACGTCAAAGTTTAGGACTGTAATCTACTGAATCACCTCCACTTCACCTTTACCAAGTTTTAAGGACAAAAACAACTGTGGCTGACAGAAAAAAAGGATACAAACCACTTTATTAATTTTAGGCTCTAACTAGCCTGGTAAAACCAGCCCTTTGTTCTACGCTTTGCTTCGTACAGAGGGTCTGGAATCTCAACTATTCAGAAATGATTTCTTGCTGGAGGTATGGACTGTGTTGTAGTTTAAAATGACTGGATAAGATTTTATCCAATCGCTAACGTTTGGCCGTGACCTGCGTAGTGCGCCAGCTCGACCGCGAAGGAAGCTAAGCTAAGAAGCTGACAGGAAATTGCGTGCGCCGTAAACAACCATCCAAGGAGACATTTTTAGAATATAATATTACTTGGTTTTCTGTTTTTTAGTGTTGCCTTTGAAAGCCATTGGTTCTTTGCCATTTATTTGTAAATAATAAATCAGTTAYCATGTATTAAAGCAGTGACTCTCTACCCTAGTCCTCAAGGACTCCTGTCCTGTTTTAGATGTTTCCCTGATTTGACACACCTGGTCTGATTGAATGAGTGATTAACAATCTTCTGAAGGACTGCTGAGTAGCAGGGAAACAAGTAAAACATGAAGGAAAGGGGTCCTTGAGGACCAGGCTTGGGAACCTCGGCCCTACTGAGAGGAGAGAAGGACAGAGCTGAACGAGATGGCTGTAAATGAGTTCTGCAGGCTTTGTGAGACACATTTTATTCACTTCCTCCTCTGCAATTGCTAAACTACAGGCAGGACTCAAACGGTGCCGAAAATCTACGTCGTCATTAACAACTCCTCCTTCTGTTCGCTGACTGGCCCGGTTAAAATTCAACCCAAGAAATCCTCGTCTATGGGAGAAATCCCAGACATGACGGAGAAGGGAAACTAGGCCAGGCTAGGCTTTAACAGAAACGTGTCACGTTTTGAAAACGGCACAGACTATTTTAATGTGTGTCTGTATGTATTTACTGCCTCAGCTGCAGAACATCACTTTCTAAAAGTAGACCACTGCACAGCAGAGGTCATTCAATATTTAGAAAAGCCTCCATGTTTGTGTTTACATGGGAGGGAAAGAGCGGAGGCTTCTGGAGTCATATTCTTACTACGAAACAAATGTGGAGAAATGTTTTGTTAAGAGGAACATGCGCTGAGTGCTTCTACAGCACAGGTAGCATCAATCTTGTTTTTTCTTTTCTGAAACATCATCATCATGAACAGCAGAGAGCAAATATCAGCAGTGGAGTCATCAGGCTCGCATGCCAGCAGAACCATTATCCATCCGGCTGTGACGGATACCCTGCAGCCCAGTCTCCTCTCRGTACCTTCTCTAGCTGCTCTGAAACACCAATCATGTCTAAACAGGGACTACAACCCTTTGCTGAAGCTATAACGGATACGTCAAGTACATGAGAATTAACAAAAAACATTTCAACTGGTAAAATAGAAAAAACGGTTCATTTTTACAAAATTTAAATGTCTCTTTGATCTTAGAGACATTTTCAAACTCATAAAAAAGCCACTGAGCTCAATTTCTGTGATTKTTTTATGTTTTTTGACACATTTATGTTACATTAACAACAGTAAGACAACCAGAACACAATGAGGGGCTCATAAACTAGAGAAATACCTTTAAAAAAGGTAGTTTTAAAGTGCTCCAGCGGTGAATGGATTCTTTTAAATAACAGGCTAAGCAGCAGCGAATATTCCATCACTGAAGAACAAAGTTGTCAAATCCTCAGGAACACCAAATTAGTTTAAAGGACATGATGTTTGTGCAGCTGTCGTGTACAACCTACTCAGCTGACAATGTCTTTCCTGTATTATTTCCTGAGTACACACAGTTCTCTTTTGTTCAGGATTTTAAACCTCATAACCAGAGGTCTATAAAGTACTCGAAAAAAAAAAAACAAGTAAGTAAAAGTAAAAATACCTTAACAGAAAATGACTTGGTAAAAACAAATTTCACTGATGAGAAAAATATTTAAGTAAAAGTTATAAAACTGTTCAAAAAAATTGGGAANAAAAATTGGGAAGCTAAAAGTACTTTTAACACTCTCTAAGAAATAAACTGTAGAATTTACTGAACCACTTAACAGTCTTTGTTTCACCAGTGGACAAAAATGGTTCAGTTTCTYCCTTTAAATGTTTCCAGACTCTACCGGGGGCTTTTATTTTGTGGACTAGGGTGTCAGACAACTTCCTGTTTCTTACCTTTAGTTTGGCAKCTTAAAWATGTCAAAAGGCTTTTAAGGAATTTCAGGGGRGTCTGTTAATGGGTTAAGCAAACTGGTTCCACTAAACCAAGTGGAGAAAATATTCGTGCCTCATATTAACTCTACTWGGTTTAGTGAAACCAGTTGACATGACTTGGTTGAGTAAATTCAACAATTCAGTTTTTTAGAGCGAATAAACGTCTTTCATGATGAGTTTGGACATATTTAATTCTGTAACAAGTAACTAGATGTTAAATTATAAAGTAAAGAAGTAAAAGTATCAATTTTAGGTTTTAAATGTAACAAAAAAGTACAAGTAACAATTTCAAAAAGTACTTGGTAAAATTACAAATCCTCAAAAAATTACTTAAGTATTGTAACTAAGTAAATGTACTTAATTACTATAAAACTCTACTTATAACCCCTAAAATTCAAGGAGTTGCAGAACAAGACYGTTCAAATATAAAAGAAAATGTTCTGATGAATTGAGGAAATATGAAACATGTTTTTTTTGGATTGAAAACGGTAAATATCTTTAGGATCAGGTGTCTTTAGTACCTTGACCCTGCTGACGGCCTCCTGCGCCTGCATCATGCGGATGTTCTTGGAGGGGTTCCTCTCAGACAGCAGCTGGGTGGAGCCCAGGTAGTTAGCAGCAAAGATAATGCCATCAATCAGGTCTTCAGGCTCACAAGGCCCCGGCACTGAAAGACACCAAGCATGGCAGAAGATGAAATGGTGAAAAGGGTATTGTAATCACAGCAATCGGTGTGTCATGTGATTAAAAAAAAACGAGTCCAACGATTTTGCTCCAGAGATACGATGAGCAGAGAAATGGCCACTGGCTGTTAGATTAGTGTGGTGAAGTGCCAGTGGGATATGAGCTTAATCTGCATTTGTAGCATGGATATTTAGATTCTAAGGACTCCCACCTCAGTCACACCCTRGTGATCTGATAAAGCAATCTGACAAATAAGACGAAACCTGCCAAAAAGTAAAACTAGCACAGTGAGAGACATCTTAGGCCAATAAGGGAGAGACCGAATACCAGTCGTTACTTGGAATTGTTCCACGGGATTAAAATACTGTGGTTTCATCACCAAACAGGTGGAAAGACAGATTAACTTACCATCAACAAAGCTGGGGAACGATGCCATTTTCTTTGTTGGCTGGAAGACAGAAATGAAAAACAAACATAAGGCTGCGTTCTGTTTTTCACAGATACCACTTTGTATGCAAAGCAACACAATATTCATGAGTTCTGTAGCAGCAGAAAACTTCCATTTTGGGACTRGATCAAGTCCTGGCTCATGCTTTTGCACAGTTTGAATAAGAACAGTTTTTCTTTTATTGCATTGATATTTTATAACACACTCATTCAGTTGTTTGGCTGGAAGATGGTAACCAACCAAGCACATGGCTTTTTTCCTGTTATTACAAGGTAGTACTACTTTATAGCAGAAATACAGATCAAAGTTTCCACTATCTTCAAAGKGAACAATCATGTAATAAAGCTGACATTTACAATTAGTCACAWTTAGTACTGACATGAAAATCAAGTTCAAGTATAAACTGCAAAAGTGATCCATGGAGGGAAATTTCTTCTTGTGCTAACATTTATCAGAAATCTTTTAGACATTTAGATTTTTTTTTCCAGAAATGCCCACAATCATATACTGTATATATCTTTACAGCTCATTGAAACAATGCTTTCTGATTCAGCTAAAAACAATTACATACTGTATATATGCTTTAGGAGATGATAAAACTAAAAACAAATTGTAAAGGGAATGATTTGTTTATTTCACAAAATGTGCCAACATAGTATGAAAGGATTTTTTGTACTCTTAAAGAGACTAATAATCCTTGCATTACAGTTGTGTTATTATGTCTGCAACACAGGTGCCTTCAAGCTTTTAGTCATACAGCCTATTTAAAAAAATAAGCTACAGGGTAGTTTGGTATTATTGTGTGCACCACACTGAACATGGAAYGAAAAGCAAAGAAGAGATCTGCCTGAGGAGATCAGAAAATAGATTATAGATCCAGCCATCCATTATCTTTTACCAGCTTCCTCCTTTCAGGGTCATGGGGGTCACTGGTTCTCGTATCCAGCAGTCACTGTGCGAGGGGCGGGGCACGCCCTGGATGTGTCACAAGTCCATTACAGGGCAAATGATTATAAATATTGATTTTAAAAGTAAATGCTATAGGATGATCTCTGAGGATCTTCATGTTTTTTTTAACAGGGTTACCAATATCATTGATTCCTTGGGATGTAGCCAACCTCCCAGGATGTGGATGCAAGAGGAAGTGCAACCCCGAGTTGATCACAAGGATACTGGGAATAATAGAAAAAACCCCACCTCAAAGCCATAGCTAAACTTCAAGGTCAAAGTATGTCATTTTCTCACTGCACCATCCATCCATAAATCATACTGGGTTTCACTGTTGGTGGAATATCAGAACTGGAATTTACAAAAATAAATGGTGACAAGCCCCAAAGTATTTAAGGGAAGTTTCTGTGAAAATGGAAGCTTTTTGGCTCCTGTCACATCAACTTATGTTTTCGTTATTATCGTAGAAGTGTACCAACTAATTTATTCCTGCTCATACTGTATTTACAAGTAATACTTTTTAAACTAGTTCTCCTAAAGTCACTCATTACAGAGGATACTTATCAAAGAGAGAAAATCATAAAGGATGGACAAAATCTTTATTTCTCCATGAGTCAAACACTTATCTCCACGGATACACAGCCTCCTGCAAACATTTCCCAACATATTCTGAAAGCTTACTGTGCACAGGGACATAACAGGAGCTGTGGGCGGAGCCTAAGAAAAGAGCATCCACCATAAACATGTCAGTGAAAAACAGCTCTCATATAACCACAAAGCAGGCGCGCTGCTCAATTACCACAATGCTATCATGCTGTAAGCAGGAGACATGAGCTGTGGCTGTAATGACACAATAATTCATCGACTCAAATGGTCACACATGTAGGAACACACTTGTACACAATGTGTTTAATTTAAAATAAACACTCTCACAAAAGACTCACAGAGCACAGAGGGGAAAACACTTTAACTGAATCTCTGCAGCGTCTTACCTCTGGTACGTTGTTGTTCTCCAGGGGAACATTGAGGTCGGAGCGCTGCTGTTTTCGGGGTTGCTCGGGACCATTGCTCACCTGTTAGATCAACACAGAAGAGCAGGTGTAGAAAAACAGGAATTAGAACAGAAGTGTAGAAAATAACATCTCCTTCCTGTTTCTGTGGGCAGCAGATGTTTGCACTGGAAACAACTAGTCGCTGAGCACACAGGACTACTGTTAATGGTTATGTGTGAAATAATCCAGGACATAACAACCAAATATTTTACTTTGTTATAATGTGTCACAGATTTGGTATTTGAAGTCTTGAAAGAAGAATGACAAATGAAACAAAACCATTTTAAAGGGTGAGACACTGATCTGAAGGACAGCTTCTACAACCGTTTCTTAAACTTTTATTCTTGTTTTCTTTTCTCCTAACATTGAAAAAATACGGTTACAAGAATATTACAAGAATAAAGTCATTATTTTGAGGAAAAAGTCAAAGTAACATGAGAATAAAGTTGTAACATTATGAGAATAAAATCATATTATGAGAATAAAGTCGTAATACAAAAAGTAGTATTACAAGAATACTGTAATATCATGAGAATAAAATATTAGAAAAATAACTGTAATAAAAAAGTCATATTACGTTGAGAATAAAACCATAATATCACAAGAATAAAAGCATAATTATACAAGAATAAAGTCATGATATTATGGGAACTACTGCGCAAAAAGAGCAGTCTTCCCACTGCATTAAAATAAGGAATGTTGAGCGCCTCTTCAAGTTATATCTGCATTATTAAACTCTACGGACTCATATGATAAACTAAAACCTTTTAGTYTTGCAGTTAATGGCTGCAGTGACAGATTTAGTTGTCACATAACGTGGATGGAAGCATATTAAACTAACAATGACCCAAAAGTAATTGGACTATAAACACAGTGACTTTCATTGGAGGCTGTCCACAGCAGGTGAGAGCTGACCCAGGAACAGAAAATGGATATGTCATGTAATTTTATTACTTTACTCTCATAATTAAAAAAATATAAATAAAAAAATAAATCTTAATCTGACCCTAATTTTTTTATCATAAAATACAGAATAAGAATATATACTTCTTTGTATATATTACTTGCAGAAAACACAGATTGCATAATTTGCTATCATTAAAACATGCCATGATGTGCAGAAGTTCAGCCATTATCAGTTATTCTATTTCAGCTGCTTCTTAATTTAACAACCAATAAAATGATGATTAAGGAGAAAAAATTTCTGAATCCCCTACTTTGTCCTTCAGCTGCTCTCTCCTGCAYGACTCACCACAAGGATTTAGTAAATGCTTTACACCAGATGCCCTTCCTGACTCAACCTGGATTTGAACCTGCAGCCTCAAGATTATACAATCCCTAAACCACAGCACCTCCTGGAGATAATTCTGACAGCCAGTCCCAATAAATCTGCATCCTGAGGTATACAGTATGTAACAAAGTGGAACATCTGTAACATGGGAAAGGATTTTTCAATTTGAGAGGAATGAAAATGGGAGGAAATACAATTCAGAACAACAGAAAACATCCTTTTTTTTCCTCTGCTGGATATTGATTTGACAGTCCCATACTGCTCATTAAATCCAACTGCATTAGGACTAGAATGAAGAGCTCCTGCCCTTTAAACCTCCTCGTTAGCTGCACAGCAGTGAGGACGTCAAATTCAGAGATGCTCATGTTGTTGCAACTCTGTGTGTCCTCCTTTAGAAGATGAAGAAAAAAATAATAACAAGCAAAGTCCTGATCAGTATTCATCATGGTGCTTAACTCAGTAGTGCAAACAAGCAATTCATTAATGAGCTTCATGTTGTTGTTTGGTAGGAAGGAATGCTAAATTGTGATCTTTTGCACTACAACAACAAAATCGTGTAAAGAATCTCAAGKGGAATCAGTCAGACCTTCGTTCAAATGCGAACAAGCAAAATATTCCATTGCACAATTTTTCTTTTAGTAATAAATCATCAGCGTAAATGAAAGAATTTAACATTTAGCAAGACTACCCCTTAGTAACTCCACACTGTGCACACAAGATGTTTATTTCCCACTTCTCTTGATTTAATGTCTGATAATACTCCTATGACTTTTTAAATCAACTTATGACCAATAATCTTATCATATTTATAACTTTTCTATATAACTAATAGAATATCACATTAAGCTATAAACTTCTGAACATTTTAACACGTTATCGTGATGAAACAAAGTAAAAAGTGCATAATGCTAGCAAAAAAATTTCCTTTAAGAAAAAAACTATAATTTATCTGAAGACAGTTCTGTTGAAGTGGTAAAATACCTGTTTTGATGTCACAGGTTAATGTAACCAATCAAATCACAAAATACAAAGTTAAACATTTCAGTATTTTTAACGTCACACATATTCAMTTTGTGGGTAAAACAGCAATTTTGCTCAAATGTTTTTCAAATTGTCAAAATTATTGAACAAAAAAAAACAATATTTAACACTAAARAACTAAAGAAGTACATAAATCTATTTAGATCCAGTTAAGGAGAATGTGAATTTATCAATTAGAAATAGGTCTTAAACATCCAAATCATTGTTTTTAGTGACAATTTTCAAGTTCTTATTAATATTCAGGATTTATTTGTGGTCACAGAAAAATGTTGACTTATTTAAACATTCAAAAATGATAAAGAAATCTTTTGGCAACAAAATAAAAAACTAATAATTTGGAAATAAATATAGCTGACTGTTAAAGCATTGAATCTTGTAGTTCCTCTGTTAATATATTCATTTCGCTCTACATTAAACAGCCAAGCTGCTATTAAATTCCCTGTTTTTGATGAGTAAAGGGGACTGTAAAATGGTGTAATGAGAATATTTGATAACAGAAGACAAGTGAGTCTGGAACTCCTCTAAGTCTGCAGAGTGCTGTACATTTTTCCTATTAAATCTAGTTAAAGTGACCCACTTCTGTTCTACAAATGAGTTACTGACAGTAAAACCAACAACACGTGTGCGTAATGGAACAGATGTTTGTTAGCTTGTTGCTCACAAGAAACTCTTCTACCATCTGAGTTTTAGAGACTGGGAGAGTTCTGCTCACATTTGAGTTTACTAGACAAACATCAGTACAGTTTACGTAGATCTATTCAGGTTGGACAGAGAAAGTAGAAGCAGGGTACCTTTCAAGGTAATACAGTATACAGCAGGTAAAATAAGTATTGAACACGTCACCATTTTTCTCAGTAAATATATTAC